ATTGCTATTGAAAGATCAACATCTAGATTGGAGAAGAGAGGTGACAATCATTCTAGAGGTTTAGGAATTTTTTCTTTCAATTGGATCTTATAGTTGCATTTTTCTATTTACCTTCTATAGTTAGTTGAATTCTAACTATAGAAGGTAACTATATATTTTCAAGCAAGAATTCATCTTATATAACAATACTTGATTTTTTTTTTTTTTTTTCTTTTTAAAGTGTGTTCTTATTGTACAACCATGTCTTTAATATTTATCATATGATATACAAATCAATACAAAAATAAATAAATACTTGCATGTAATCAAATTATCTACATCATTTATTTATATTTAGGATTTATTATGCCAATACTTAAAAATTGATAAAATAATTGATCAAATTACAAAGGTATCTTATTTAATTTATAACCTTGATAGATGAAAATTTATTATATTATTTAAAGTTTAATAATTTGACTAAAATCAACTATTAGCCAAATAAATTCTTTTCTACTAAAGGTGCAAATAAAAAGAAAACTCTTCTAGATAGAAGTGCACCTATAAACCCAACTTGAGTGAATCCATCAAGGTATTGGAAGAGATGCAATCTTAAATAGAGCTTAACTTATTGCAAAAATCCTTGAAATTTTGATCATGTTCCATCAAACTTCTTGGGCATACTAATCTTGATTTCTATCATACTTATAGAAACAAAACTTCCTAAATTTAGTTATGAAGGTAATCTACTTACTTCTTTCAATTGCACAATTTCTTGACGTAGACTTTGAACTTCTTCCATATGCATAGGAATAGTACATCCATGATTCACTTTGAAAATACGTGAGATCTCTACTCTTAGAGTATTAATAAATTCATAAAGATCTGCAATACTTGCAAATCTATTCTCACTTCCATTGAGAGTAGCATCCATAATCTTTCTTTCTAAAGAAAACTAAAAAAAAATTCAAAAATTTAAATTAAAAGAGGGTAATCCGTAACCTCTAATGTCAAATGAAAATTTCTATAAAAAAGGATAATACACTCTCTTTTAAGAAAAAAAATCAATGTTAGAAAAGAAGATTATTTCTTTAAAGGTGGATAGTCTGCAATCTTTAAAATATAATAATTAAAGTGACGTAATCCACTTACTTCTAAAACAAGACAAAAACAATAAGTTAGAATTCTTATCAAATTGTCAAGGATATGAATCTTAAAGAAAGAAAATCCTTAATATACTCTTGTACTATTGAAAGAAACTAAAAAGTCATTCAAAGATGATATAATATTAAACTAGAATGGCTATTGCCAAAAACAAGAAGACTAGAAAGTCTTGGAGTAAGACTAAGGACTTAAAAGGCGTTGACAAGAATAAAAAAGGTTTTTCTCTTACTTTCATATGTACTTTCTAACTAAGAGCTACGTTGTCATAATATGTGAAGTCTTGCTTGAGAATGCTCTGGGTACTTGGTTGTGGAAAGTAGAATAGAAATTACAACAACAATCCTAACTCTAATAGAATACTAACTAAACTTTAATTAGACCATAACAATGCTAAGTAAGCTTTAATCAAATTCAAAGAAACCTCAAATGAATTACAAAGAAATAATAAAAAAATCTTAAAGAAATATTAAAATGATCACAAATATATTTCAAATACATCTTAATCCAATCTTAATTTAATTCTAGTTAAAATCCTATTAGACTTCATTCAAACTTTAGGCAAAAAACTAATTAAATCTTAAACCCTAAATAAACCTTAATAAAATCCTAAACCCTCAATCAAATCCTAACCAAATTTTAAATTAAATCCTAATCAAATTCTAAATCCTAAATTAAATCCTAACCAAATCCTAAACTCTAAATCAAACCTTAATCAATTCCTAAACCAAACCCTAAATCCTAAATCAAACCCTAATAATTCCTAAAACAAATTTAAACCTCAATTATTAATCAATGAACCATTGACCTTAACTCAAATTTTTCATGATTTTTAACAATTAAGTTAACAAGAAGTATAAAAAAATTAAAAAATGATCGAAATTACCAAATAGATGATAGCCTCAAAAACATGCTTGGATATTGGCCGGCCTTCTTCTCTGACCTTGATGCCAATCTCCCAAAGCCAATATATCTCTTTTTCATTATTTGATTGATTTCAAAATTATCATACACATGGAAAAACAAGTCTAATATCTTCACAGATAAATTTTACTCCAATCCATCTAGTAGATTGTAAGAAATCTTAAAAATCCTCACTAGACCTAAAATTCTACTTTTTGAGACCTTGACCCACTTAAACCTCAATAATTCTCAATTCAACCATTAGATCAAGCTAAGATTCACAACACATATTAAGCACAACTATGAACATTAATACACAAAATTTCACTTGTAAATCTGTTTCAAAACTCTTGAAATCACCAAAAACGTCAATCCTATTTTATTTCACAAAATCCAAGTCATCCAAAAACAAACTTGACTTTGTAAAGCTCTTACAAAGTCATAACAAATCCAAATAGCCCAAAATTAATACTCATAGAAACCTTATATAATTTGCTATCAAATCTTATTCTTCAATCTACAAAAGAATCTTGGAATTGTCATCAAGACTCGGTTTTGTGCCTCAGGGTCTGATTTTGACCATGGTTCATAACAGGCCCTCTTTGGGTATCAATATCTAGTTTTTTTAAGTAAAATTTGCTAGAATTTACTCATAACTTCCTTCTAAAGATGCCTATATCATTTTTTTTCCAATCTATTTTTTTTTTGCCTTATTTTTTTTTGCCTTACAAAGTAAGTAGAAGTCACCTTTCTAAAAAGGCAGCATTGATACCTTTTAGTTTTACTACCCTTTTGACTATCAACTATATTTCTAAGCTAATTTGCTCTAATACTTTGAACTAAGATCTCCTACATTATAATAATTTCAACACTCTTTCACCTATTAGACATGTTATATTATGACAACTTACTAATATTCTATAGTACCTCCAATATGTGTTGACTTTGCTAGTTACATGTCTTAACTTGTGAGGTAAGTTATTTATGTATGTGCCACATAGTTAGCTTGTTCCACAAGCTACTATATAGAGTTAACTTATTGGCCAAGTTTCTAACCTACAAACACATCTAAAGTCAAAACTATATCTATGAAGTTTTTAAGAAGCTTTTCTAGAAGATTTTATGAAATTAATCTATATTTACTTACTTCTACTTAATCATATAAGTAATTATTGGGATAAATGTATATGTCTATGATACCATTGCAATTTTGGCTCTCTTGCCATATTTCAATGGGACATCTTAGTTAGGAGATTTGTATATGCATAGTTTGGATGATTTTTTGTAAATTGGACATGGATATTAGAACTTTTATAGAATCATTTTGAGATGGAATGTTTGCATTGCCTCTACAAATTTTATCTTAATGTAAAATTAGGATCATAGTCTAGAATTTGTGAATTTGGCTTAATCATGATAATTTCTTCAATAATTACTAGTGGCCTTATTGTTTATATTGCAAGTAAGAAATACTTAATTTATTGAATTTAAAGTAATTGTAACATGATTGTTGTAGATGTTGGAAGCAGTATCTAAATACTAAACAATAAAAACATTCATTTGTGTTCATAATAAGATATCATTATTTAGGTGGAAGCTCATTATATTTATATTAGTAATTTATTTTTTTGGTTTTTTTATTTATTCTTAAATAAGTAATATTGATTTTATTTTTTATTTTATTATTATCTATTATTATTATTATTATTATTATTATCTTATTTTTATTTTTCCAAATATTATTCAAATCAAGTGCATAAAATCCAATAGTCATACTAAATAGCCTATTTAAATATTTTAAAGTATCTAATAGGTTAGTCAATGAAGTCTTTCATATTAAATCTTGTGATTATGTATAAAATGTCTTCTATATAACCAAAAACTTGCATAGACCTTCATTGAATCTAATTTGATACAAATCTATTAGAACAAATTATTATAAATCACAACACATCATCTTAATAAATTTGTTGGAGACAAAAAGGCTTTTGATCCCATATCAAATTGTCTATTAAAATTGACCTTATTCATGAAAAAAAAAACAATAAATTGCTTTGTATGTATTTTAATCCATTGATGACATATTTTAAAATCCTAATAAATGTTAAATCCAATTTAGTGTTACATGAATGGAACGAAATGCATTTTCTCTAAGCAAAGATGGTTAAAAAAGAAGATAGAAATTTATCTATTATAATTTCTAAATGCACAAATAAACAACCTTTATTCTTGTCATATCCACATTTATCTATTTGTTGTAGAAAGAATCAACAATTCAATCATAATATATCTCAATTATTTCTTCATTTAAAAACAATAATTTTAAAGTACAATATAATAGTAACAATGATGCTAAAGTGATGTTGCTTCTATTTTTCTCACATCATTGATTTCATAATTGTAATAGTTAACAATACAAATAGTATCAAGATTTGATACAATAACAAATGTCAAAAGAATATACATTGTAACACAATTTAAAGAAGAAAGAAATATTTTAAATAAAATGACCTTTTCATTTATGTATTTATTTTTTTGATGTGGTAAAGACACAACAGATCCAAAATAGTCTCTCTTGTATAATAAAAATGGTGTGAAGATTGGTGCAGTTGAAAGAGGATCTTGAACACACCTTTTGCAAACACTGTTTTGGAAAGATACTGAAGCTCACATGGCAAAGACTAATCTTACCCAAAAAATTGCTCAGACCACAAACCATAACACTAAGATTGATTTAATCATGTAAAGAACTATTAATATCTAATATATATATATATATATATATATTTCTGTATATTCACACACACATAATACACCATTCTAGCAATGTTCTTAAACTCACCATAGGCCATTTCATATCTCGTTCCAAAGAAGAAAAGAGATAACTGCACGAGACACCTGTAGAGCAGGGCGAAAGGGGGCAGGAAGGGGAGCAGAGCCCCTAAAACCCTAAACCCTGATTACATTGCACCTCTCTCTCTCTCTCTATCGCTGCCTGGCCTCTGCACTGCGCTGGCCTCGCATTGCTCTTGGCATTGCATCTCTCTCTCACTACCTTCGTGCTCTTCCTCTGCCTCTCGGCGTAGTACACCAGGGCCGTGCTATCACACTGCCGCCGCTGCGCTAGACTTACTTGCAGCTGCAGTAGCAGGTCGCTAGCTCTCATCTGCTTCGGCTTCAGTTTTTCTGTCATCCTCGCTTCCTCGCTAGTTTTCGTGAGTACGCAGTAGCCATGAGGCCGCCTATGCGTGGGGGGCGCGGCGGGGGTGGAGGGTTTCGTGGAGGAAGTGGTGGTGGATTCCGTGGGGGTCGAGGCGGATTTGGAGGTCGAGGAGGAGGTCGTGGAGGCTACGATGAAGGGCCTCCAGAAGAAGTCGTCGGTATAGCCGCGCCTTGTCTGTATCTTGATTTTCTGGGGTTTTGTGTTCGCTGTTATCGTTTCGTGTTGTGGCTTAGCTTTTGACGGTTTGGTCGTACGAAGGTTTTTACAATGTGTGTGCACTAGCCTCTTTGCTCTCGAAGGCGAATGAGGTTTCGGCTCGATTATGGTGGATACCTTTGTGTCGGTTTGGTTTCGGATGGGCGTGCGTTGATCCTGCTAGAACTTTGCATGGGTCGCGCTCTTGTTGCTGAAGTGATCGTGCTAGTCAGTCTGAATTTGTGAAATGCATTGACAATGTTTTTGTTGTCTTATGTTCACACTGACAGAGGTGGCCTCTTATCTGCACGCTTGCGAAGGAGAGGCAGTCACGAAGTTGACGAACGAAAAAATCCCTTACTTCAATGCACCCATATACTTGGAAAACAAGACGCAAGTCGGGAAAGTGGAGGAGATTTTCGGGCCTATCAATGAAGCCGTACGTAACTTTTGATTGTGGTTTTCCTGCTGGGTCGCACTCTCGAGCGCAATCTTCATACCTGAGCTGTCAATGTTTTCGATTCCGTTACTGGTGTTTGTAGAGCTGGTCTCGAAGTTTGGAAGGAGAGAGGATCCATTACCGACTGCGGCATGGGTTACCGAGAGTAACCTGTGTTTCACGAATCGAGGCATTGTATTGTTTGCCTTAAGGCTCCATGAACTTGTACATTGCTTCATTGTGTTCCTGGATGGTTGCAGATGTTTTCTGTAAAGATGCAAGAGGGAATTATTGCCACTTCATACAAGCCTGGTGATAAGTTTTTCATCGACCCTGCCAAATTGCTTCCACTAGCTCGGTTTCTACCTCAGCCCAAGTAAAGCGTCTACCATCGCACCCTTATCTACTCCTCTAAAATATCTTATCGTATTCTTTTCTTCTGCATTTTAAAGTATGAGAATGGTCGTCACAGCTGCTTATCTTTTCATTGTCATGCTGGGCAGGGGAACAACTCCCGGAGGTGGTCGTGGTGGCAGAGGTGGAGGTCGTGGAGGTATGGATGTTTGCGCCACCTGCACGTTTTTTATACAAGCCTCTGACCTAAATGCATTGCCATTTTATCGCAATAGATAGGTGCTAGTTCTGGGTTGTCTCCCTGTGATTACATGGAATCATTTTATGCATTTCTGAACATGAAATGCACTTCTTGTTGCTTGTCCTGTCGAATTCTCAGGACGAGGTGGGGCAAGGGGCGGAGGTCGTGGTGGATTTGGAGCAAGGGGCAGTGGTCGTGGCGGTAGCGGCGGGGGATTCCGGGGTGCTCGGGGTGGCGGTGGCGGATTCCGGGGTGGAGCCAGGGGTGGTGGAGGATTCAGAGGGAGAGGAGGTTAGAGCGATCGTCTGGCTGCTTTTTCAGATCTCTGATCATCAAGTTAAGGTAAGAGGGGAGGATTGAATGCTGACGACAGTCACGTCTCTTCTTTCACGTGTGAAAATCTAGTGCAGATTAGGTTTTGGCTTTCTTACCTCGTAGATGTAATTAGATCTCTGAGGGCGGAAATGAATCCCACCCAGGGGTATCTGCTGTTAAAGTGTTGAGCACGTGCCGGGAAGGGCAGCCTACGCTACTTGAGTTTCAGGTTTTTTTTTGTAGCTTTTAATCTTTGTTGCGTTCCTTTAGTAGCTTGCTTAAGCTGTGCGCACGCAGATCTGTCAGGCCATATTCCTTTCAGAGTGTAAAATCAGAACAGCTCCTTTTCTGTGTAATGATAGCAGCTTGCCTTGATTGTCATTGGTAAAACACTCCCCTTAATGTTGATATCTTACAAGGCTGATTTCCTCTGCTTTTTGAGGACTAGGTCTCGGTTTTGCACCGACGAATTGCGTCTTTAATACTCAGCAAACAATCGTCATGTGGGCTGTTTTCGTGATGGTTTTCTTTTGTTAATTTCTCTCTCTAGTCGTGGTACAAATTGGAAATGAAGACCAAGGTGAATCAGTCGGCATCAAGGGAATGCACAGTAATGTGATTTACAGCCTCTTCAACCAAAGATGAAAGCACATTCCATCACTCATCCTGTCTTTTCCTAAATAGCATATGCATGTACAATTCTACTCATAAGCGTGCTTGGCACTGAGTTTGTAATGTCAGCAGATTACCTGAGCACTTATGGCCATATGAAGGACGTAAGTACATTCTAATTGTGGTTATGGAGTTGTATGTACTTTTCCTACTGTGTGGGTATAGTGGCTAACATCAACATCACTGTACTTTATGCCTAGTGCTTTTTGGTAAACATGTGAGCTAGTCCTTCTATGTCTGGTTTGATGTAAGTCTTGAACCATATATGCAACTAGGTACAAGACTGTTTGATGTAAGATACCATTACCTAGTGACTCCAACCACCAAGTTCAAGAAGTAGTTTAAGAAATCCTAAATATATTTGCCACAAGTTTTTAGAAACTATATTCAAAGAACTGAAAATAGGATCTATAAATTTTCTTCTCCTTGTTGAAGAGAAAGAGTTAAGAAATATGTTAAGTAAGCATGGAAGAGCTTTTGCTTTTGAACCTTTGGAAATTGGTTGTGTGGACCTAAGTGTTGTAGCACCAATGATTATATTTATGGTGTCACATGTTCTTTGGGATCTAAGGCCAATTCTAGTACTTAGGACTCATCTATTCAAGCTAATAGAGCTTTTGAAAGAAAAGATATAAATGAAGATTCTAGAACCATTATTTGTATCATATTCCAGTTGTTAGTTTATAGTATCAAAGAAAAATGGAACATTACAATTTATTTAAGATATGCAACTAGTGAATCAAGTCACCATTAGAAATACAAGAGTTAGACCAATTGTTGGAAAATTTGGGGAAGCATTTGTTGGTAGAGCCATTTATTCTATTAAAGATCTTTATTTTAGATATGATCAATTTTAATTAGTTGAAAGAAGTAGAAATATCACCACTATGAGGATGCCCTTAGGATTGGTAAAAATGTGCATATTACCACAGGGTGCAACAAACTCACTTGCTCACATAATGAATGGAATGAATAAGGTTCTTCAAGATTTTATTCCAAAAAAGACCATGCCTTTTTTTGATTGATATCTCAATAAAATGGTGTATGGAAGAAGAGAAAAATAAAGCAATAGATCAGAGGGGGTGCCATAAATTTGCATCTAATCATATTTTAGAGTATAATAAGATTTTGTCATGGCTTGAAAAAGTTCACTTAACATTATCAAGAGCTAAATCCACTTTTGGAGTTTAAGAGGTTGTTATTGTAGGCCATTTGTATTGATGGTTTGGTGGCAAGTCAGATCCTAATAAAGTAGATGCTATATAGCAGATGAAGAAAGTTTGTAGCACATAAACAGAGGTGTGGAGATTTTTAGGAGCTTATATATTTTATCATATGTAGATTCTTCATTATGCATATGTAGTAGATTTTCTTTATAATTTGCTACAAAAAAAAAGAAAGATTCAAATGGGAGAAGAAGCATACATAAGTGATTCAAAAGCTAAAGCATTTATTAATTTCTCTACTTGTGCTACAAATGATAAATTATGAAGGTTGCAAATCTGTAATATTTATAATAGATATAAGTCCAATAGCTATTGGTTGGGCTTTAGGACAAGATAATGAAGAAGGAAATATGTTTTTTAATAAGGTTTGGAGCCAAAGTATTAAGTGAATGACAGAGAAACTTTTGACAAGTAAAACGAGAGTTGTAGGAGATAGTCACAATTATAAAGAGTAAAAGAAATTATTTAATTGGAGCATTAGTAATAGTGGAAATAAATTGTTTGCCACTATTGAGAATAATCACTAATTGTAACACAGCTAATATTGCCATGCTAAGATAGATTACATACATCAAATCTTTGAATTTTGAATTCAAGCATATAGCAAGCAAAAATAATATAGTGGCAGATATGCTATTCCGAGCTAGATATGAATAAAATGAAGACTTGATTGATGATATTGAAGATATAAGTACTACTTTCTATTCTAGAGTATATCAAGGAAAGAATGAATATCCAAAATCATTTATGGAAGAATTGTATGAAGAAGAATAGGTAGATATTGGGCACTACTTACGTACATTATCAAAGCAACTAGGGTAGAATGATGTTTATTTTAAGTAGATTAGATGGAAAGCTTAAAACTACCTTTTACAAGGTAATTACTTATAGAAATAGTACAAAAGAAATAGTGATATATCACAAAGAATGATTTGCAAGAAAGAAATGCAAGGACAATTGATCTCAAAATTTTATGATAGTTTATAAGTAGGTCTCAGAGATATTTATGCTACTTTTAACAAGCTTAAAGAAAGATACTGGTGGTATAATATATATAGAGATGTGGCAAAGTTTGTGGAATCATGCCAAACTTGTCAAATGTATTTGGAGATTTGACACAAAGATGAATTGTATCCCACATATCCTCTTATAATACATTATAAGTGAGTTGTGGATCTAGTTACTATGGCTATGGGATTATAGAAAATACAATACTTGATTTTGGCATGAAAAGATTTATCTAATAAAGTAGAAGGGAGAGCTCTATGAACAAAATCCATTGAAAGAATTTATAGATTTTTGTTGAAAGATGTGGTTTGTAGATATGGATGTATTGAGAAGATTATGGTTGATTGTGGAGAATTAGATGCATATGAAGCAAGATAGTATTTTGAAAGATGTAGAATCAAGCTTGCACTTACAACAACATATAATTGTGAAGGTAATGCTTAAAGTCAACGAAGTCATCTTCCAATAATTAAAACCATTGTTAAAGCTTGCAAAGGAAGAACAAAACAATGACCAATATTATTACTATTTTCTCTATGGGCTGACCATACTATTCATATTTTGATGGCTAGATATATGCCAATAGAATTGATATAAGGACAAAAGCCCATTATGCCAATTGAAGAATAAATATCTACTTGGAGTGTTTTATATTGGCAAGGCAATACGCCGAAAGAAGAACTTCTTATACTTTGAATTCATCAGCTAGAGAGGAAACCTAAGGACATAGAAAAGGCAATTGTGAAGTTGAAAGAGACATGCTTAAAAAACAAAGATAGATTTGATAAGCAGTATCAATTAATGCCATGAGAGTAATTGGATATTTGTTTATGATAGTAGTTTGGCTAACCAACACATTACCTTACAAATTTTTTTAAAATGTTGGTTTAGGCCTTATGTAGTTGTAAATGTTCTAGATAATACTACATCCATATAGATGAATGGAGATAGATGATAAAAATCTCTATTCCTATTGTCTAAAAACCAAACCCAATAGGCTTCAAGGACGTTGTCCAAGGCCTGATTAGAAATTAGGATTATTCTTTTGAGGCCATTTGAGCTTTGAAGGCTAGGATCAATAAGTTTAGGTTTTTTGGCTATGGTTTTAGTGCAATTTTTGTGTGATTTGGAGTTTATATGAAAGAGATATGGGCACTCAAAGTTAAGGTATTGATTATGTACCTACTATCACTCTTTTGGATATAATGCGCATATACATAATGCAATAAAGGATCGGCAACTATGATTGGAGAGAACATTTTTTTGGCTACATTCTTAGAATATTATTTAATGGATTCTATGTTAGAATGAAGGAGATATTGGAAGTTGAAATTAGTGCTTGTAAATCTAAGAGTAGTAAGTAACTCGATTTTTCAAGTGGTTGTATTTTGAACTATAACTTGAGCAATTTGACAAGATTTTGGCTCAAAATTTCTACATTGTATATAATTATGTTAGTATATTTTATGCAAAAATTTTGTGGTATTTGAGTTTTGGATTTTTGAGATATGAAAAAAATATTTTTTGGATGCATGTAGATTAGGATTTAGAAGACCTATTAGGATTTCTAAGATGCCAAAAGATCAATAATAGATTCATAGTTCATTTTTTTGTAATAAAGCTTAAGAATAGAATCTATGTCATATCAAAATTTGAAAAAATTGAACAATTAGATCAAGAGATATGAATTTTCAAAGTTTAGGATGAAAATAACTTTTGTAGGAAGAAAATGTTTTGAAGGATTTTGTTATAATTTGAGCTTTTGTGCAAAATAAAAGAATTTTTGATAACTAAGATATGTCATATAAGCCAAAGCTAAATTCACTATAATTAGGTATCTAATGTATTTCGAGATTACAAATTGTGCCGTACAACAACATTTGCGACGTGTACCATTGCTAATTACTCTCAATCACGTATAGAGTAATTGTGCTTTATCTTTTTGAGCTTGCATGATTCATATGCCTTAAGTTAAAGGCTCCTAGTAAAGTCTTATTGAAGGACTGCTCTAATAGCTAAGTCAAAAGCATCAATGTCAAGTGTACAAAAAAAGTTGAGATTATACGGTTGTAATATTGAAGTTGTAATGAGTGCTTCCTTCAACTTATCAAAGGCGCTTTGCTGGTCCAATTTTCATTCAAATAAGGAATTCTTCTCCAATAGATTTGCAAATGGAATAGTAATGTGTACAAATCACTAAATAAAATGGCAATAATATCCAATAAGGCCTAAAAATGAGGGAACTTCAGAAGCATCTTTAGAAGTTGGCCAATCTTCCACGGCTTTCATCTTATCTTGGTCTATATGTACGCCTTTGGAGGATATCACATGCTCCAAAAACATGACTTTTGACTTCCAAAGTTCATATTTTGATTACTTGTATTAGAAATGACTATCTTGTAGCTAGCCTATTACTTCTCATACATGGTGTTCATACTCTTTAGAGGTTTTATTATATATGAAGATATCTTCAATGAAGACAACTACATACTTGTCTAAAAGGTTTCAAAACAACCTGTTTATGCGATCCTTGAAAGAAGCTAGAGCATTAGTGAAGCCAAAAGATAAAACTAGCCATTCAAAATGTTTATAGCGTGTACAAAATGCCATCTTTTCTACATCCTTTCTTGCAATAGGTGTCTACCAATAACCACTTTAAAGATCAAATTTACTAAAGATGGTTGTACTTCAAAGTTGGTCAAGATCATCCAAGCATGAAAGTGGATATGCATTGTTAACAATCTGCTTATTGATGCTTTGATAGTCAATGCAATGCCAAAGTCTACCATTCTTCTTGGATACAAAGAGTATAGGTGCTTTCTATAGTGATATGCTTTCTCGAATGAGGCCTTTCTCCAAGAGTTCATCCAATGTCTTTCATAGCTCTTCAATACTATTAATTTATCACGTAGCTCTTTAGTACTAGGTGATAAATTGATCAACTTGATGGTTTGGCTCAAGGCAATAGTTCTATTTGAAAGGGGGCACCTCAATTAAAAAGTACGCTATTAGGTAGGTCGGTTGAGAAGACATCTCAATATTTCCATATGAGTTGATTTGCCCATTATACTCCTTTAGCTGTCTTTTCTCCCAATGATGTAAGATTTGGAACCACCATATATATTGGATAATTATGCTGTATTTGCTTCTTCATAAAGGTTGTCCCTATGAATAAGTCTTTGATTGTAGATTGTCTTTTCTCTTCACTTGATGTGGAGGTGCAAAGAGTCACCTTGCATCCACCATTTTTAACAGGGCATCACGAGTTTTTGATAAATACAATCTTGATACCTAAGTACATTTTGAATTACTCAAACAATTGGTTGCCTATAATTAAGCTGCCCTGTAAATATGATCCAATTACATGTCAATTTCCTAACAATTACATAAAAATTATATTATATTATTTGATTTATAATTGTTAATTTCTTTTGCCTAATATGGTATTTTTTTTATTAGTGCTCTCTTCAATAATTAATCCCCAAAAAACTAATAACCTCCAATATTTAATCAAACATTTAGAAATCAACTCCATTTTATGATGCATAATTAATACCCCCTAATTTCTAATAATCAATTAATTTTTGTTTACTTTGTTGCAACACATGATATTAATTAACAGGGAAAACATTATATATATATATATATATATATAGACATAGTACTAAGTTAATTTTCTATGCATTATTAAGAATATTAATTTTTAATAATTAGAGGAACTTTATGCTTACGGAGAAGGCAAGACCTACAATTTTCAATACTTATTATTGGCAAAAGTCAATAAGCCTTCGTTAATTGACTTGTACTTAATTAAATCAAGCAAAATATTTTGAGAAAGAAAACAAAATGCAATTTTTTCATGCTATGACCTGCAGAATATTGCTCCTAGAATTTACAGAAGGCCCTCGAACGGTACATGAACCCACAGGCCAATTTCAATATAATGTTTTTGAAATCATAAAATCGCAACAGCCTATAAAATGTAAAATCTTATTCACTGTTGATGAGAATCGCAAATATGCATTCTAGGTCTCCATGTAAAATACCTTAAGCGAAATTTGAGGTTTGTTCAACGAGAAGCAAAGTCGAAATGGGTACCGACAAAACCCTGAGAATTTTACTGTCGGTGACTGGCCATCGAGGTATGGTCAACATCCCCTGAACAACGAAGAGTTGGCACTTTGTGCCCTTGTGGGTTCAGCTTGTTGTTGCAAAGATCAAATTGTGCTACAGTGATTCGGTTGTCCACGTGCATTGTAATAGAAGCAAAAGGGTTCCACATGATCAAGGTGCAAGGAAAGCATGATGAGTCGAAGCTTTTTGGCAGAGCCGGAGTGATGTCCATGGTAACCTCGGCGGACGTGTTCGCGGCAAATGTGGCGCACGAGCTGACAAGAATAGATATTTTGCTAATTACTTTATTTGCGAAGCATCTCTGCGAGTTTTCCGAACATTCACAGCTGAGGAAAGTATATCCGGAGCAGGATAAGCAAGTGATGAAACCAACGCGTCAATCTGCGCATTTCTCTGTCGTCGTCCTTGTTTTGTCAGCTCTTGCGTTCGAGCCTGCATCCTCGATTGCAGATGTGGAATGAAAGGAACCGAATTCTGATATCTGACCATACTGACAACGCTTCTGCTTCAAAAATGAGTTTCGGGCGCTTGTAGGGGGTTGTTCGGTGTTCTTGTGCACCGTGTTGTTGTTAGTGGTGTGTGGAAAAGTTTGTTCCGGGGATTGGAGTGGTGGCGATGGTGGAGATGGGGACAATTCAAGCAGTTGTGCTGTTTCACTGCATGCTGGTTTGCGGAGCAGCGGCTATGGCACAACCATTTCTGTTTGATTCAAGGATGTATAATACCAGCGGCGGTATTGAGGAGGGCAAGATAAACGTGCATTTGGTGTCTCACACCCACGACGATGTGGGATGGCTCAAGACAGTCGACCAGTACTACGTCGGCTCCAACAATTCCATCCAGGTGGGTGGGTACAGGGTTTTGGTGGTATTGACGTTATTTTGTGAAATTTGGATCTAGGTTTGTTAAGTTGAATAGGATTTCGCTTAGGTTTTTAGCGCGTGATTGTACTGATCAGTTTCAGTGACGTTATCGGATCGCCTCTGTCGCATTGGCTTCCTTCTACAGCGTTCGTCGTTTCAAAAGTAGCGTATTGTTTTAGCCTTGGATTGAAATCACACATTGTGGCGACAGCCAAGGTATAACGAACCGTGAGCCAAAGCCTTTTGTTCTAATGATATGGAGGTCAATCAACAATTCTTTAATTGGGTGCCCTTAGCTTTGTTTCCCTTGCAGATTGCAGCAGTGCAGTATGTGTTGGACTCGGTGGTCACTGCTCTGGAGCAGGACCCGAACCGGAAGTTTATCTACGTGGAGCAGGTATTTTGTGCTGAATTCTCTTTGTTGATTCTTGCTTTGCGCCGTCGCATTTGTTTTGTTTGATAACAGTTTTGTAGACAGGTTCATGCCTGTTCTAAAAATGATTCGCATGGGGGACCGCATTGGGGTTTGATTTGCTTTCGTTCAGGCTTTCTTCCAGCGATGGTGGAGGGAGCAATCTCCAGAGAAAAAAAAAAGTGTCAAGAAGCTTGTGGAGGAGGGACAATTGGAATTTATGTATGAAATTTTTCACCCGCTGAAACACATCGCATCTATGTTGTAGGATGTATGATCATGTAGCAATGAAATTTGCCTTCTCGGGTTTTGAAGATCCAAAAGTTGGATTGCCAAGTGACTGGTCGGAGGCAGAGGCATATTGGATTTGACAATGCAGCATTTTTACAGAAATGGAGGTTACTGTATGCACGACGAAGCTGCTACACATTACGTCGACATGATTGATCAGACGTCACTGGGACATCGTTACCTCAAGGAACAGTTTGGGATAACTCCTCGCATCGGTTGGCAGATTGATCCGTTTGGTCATTCAGCCGTCCAGGCTTACCTTCTTGGTGCTGAGGTTTTGTTTTCATCCCGCGTGACTCTAGGCTTTCTATGTATCTTTGTCTGCATTGGAGTGGGTGTGAATTTTTAAGGCTCCTTCAATCCTTAGTTGCATGGTTGCAACGAGTTTCATGAGATGTAACATTGCTTAGGGAAACTTTGCTGCAGTTGGGCTTCGATGCGTTCTTTTTTGCACGAGCTGATTACCAGGACATCATCAAGCGTCGCAAAGAGCGGACCATGGAGGTTATATGGCAGGGTTCAAAATCTCTAGGAGCATCTGCCCAGGTGTGTAGCGTGGAGCTGCACCTTGCAGGGGCTTTTTTGTACTTTCTGTTGCCGATCTTGTAGTTTCATTATCTAACACCTACGGTAGCTTTGCAATGACAAAGAGGTTTTCTAGAAGTAACATCAATTGTTTTGTTTTTCTTCTTTGGTGCACGCGTCATCTACGTACGCGATTGAGAGTCTCATGGTTACAATTCCTTGACATAACGCGTGGTCTGGAAAGTTGAGGGTTGGGCATTGAAGTTCCTAATGTTTTGGTTGAATATTACAACAGTGCAATTGATGTTCATCAACAGATTTTCGCTGGATTGTTGTGGCATCACTACGAGCCACCCCATGAATTTCAGTTTGATATTTCGTCGACGACATCTCCTATTCAGGTAATCAACTTTTTCTGTCTTCATCGATTTCCTCGTCTTACAATTTTTTTTTTTTTGGCTGGTTATTGCCACGCTACTTTCCGAGTTGTTATTGAAGCGAAATTTTATGGGACGTATGTCCCCCGAACCACACTTGCTAGCCGCTATAACTTGTTGAGTTGCAGCTGTCAATCACCGTGGGGCAATTGTACAGGATGATCCGGCTCTATTTGGCTACAATGTCCCAAAATTAGTGGATCTTTTTGTGGAGTACGCCACAAATCAGGTAAAATAGTCTTGAGATAAGCACCACTCTTCCTATTTTAATGTTGATACGGAGTACATAGATTACAAATGTTTGTGATGCTGAGCTGACCGAAACTTGTTTTTTTTTTTTTTTTTTTTTTTTGCTTTCAGAGCAAGGAGTATCGTACTAATCATGTCATGTGGCCAATGGGTGATGACTTCGCTTATGAGAACGCCAACACTTGGTACAAGCAAATTGACAAGCTCATACACTATGTGAACAAGGTACTGTTCTTTTCTGAGCGGAAAGGGTATCATAGATTCTGTGATTGTCAGCTTGATCCTTCCAATCCTTCACATGGTGAATGCTCTACAGCATCCAGTTAAAATGCTGATGCTTCTAATACAATAAGGCTGTTGCTGTATTGGTTCCTTGAAGCGGTTTACCCATAGGTTGCAAGAGATTCACCTTTGTGGGTACTTATGCAGGATGGCCGAGTTAGTGCATTTTATTCTACTCCATCGATATATTTGGATGCTGTTCATGCTGCAAATGCAACCTGGCATCTGAAGACGGATGATTATTTCCCGTAAACAATCCCTTCCGTCTTATTGATTTGGCTCACTTCGAGAATTTGTAATTGCATTTAGCTGCAGGTTTCGGTAACCGGCATCGTTTATCAGTGGCTCACACATCTGGTCCACATTGTTGTCATGGGTGTCACTGTATTAATTTAGAAGTACAATGCTATTGTTAGTCAATGGTGGATTTTCGATAAGTGCTAAGCAGGTTAACGGGCTTAAGTTGAAACCAAACGTTTGTCCTCATGTGTGGCTGGTATTTATGGTGGTTTATGTGCACTTTGGTTGAGAAATGGCTTTTGGTCGTATCACATGTATAACAGCGTGTGGTTGTTTAGGTATTCCGACTGCCCACATTGCTTCTGGACCGGTTATTTTACGAGTAGGCCAGCACTTAAGGGTTATGTGCGTAAGCTCTCCGCCTTACTTCAAGTAAGATTCTCCACATTTAATCTTCTTTTTTGCCATTTTGTCAACGTTTTCCCATTAAGCTGTCTTGGTATTCTAGTATTTGTTCTGTTAGGTGTCAATCTTATAACAAGAGTCTGGAACAGGTTTTCCTGCAAAAGTTTCTGATTTAGGTCACAAGGGGTGTTTTGAGGCGGACGGGCTTGATTATTGGACATCCGGTCACGGCATGTCAAATTAACACTGTGAAATAGGACATCCATCTAGTTAAATAGAAGTCTAGGCTAAAGGCTGGAATTAGTGGTAGTGGTGTTCAATTATCTGCCTTGTGTTGACCGCAGGCTGCAAGACAAGTGGAATTCCTTGTGGGCAAAAACTCTACAGGGCCAAATACAGACAGCTTGGAGGAGGCCGTTGCAATACTGCAGCATCATGACGGAGTGAGTTGTACTAAGTAGTTCGTATACTTGGACGATTTCGAATAATTGATTTTCACTTGTGAATTGATCTTTGTCATGTCTGAAGTTTGTATTTTCTGGCAAGCATACAATATGCTACTTCTTTGTGCTTGGTGCTGCTTGTAGGAATGCTATCAATGTGCCAAGCACTTGAGAAAGTCCTGCTTTAGATGCCCAGTGCTCAGTCTCGAAAGCTTTAATGTTGGAGTATTAGAGATCATATGGCATATATGCATGGATGCATGCACTGGTCTACCTTGGACATTATGTGGCTATGCTATAGGGGTATCATAATTGGACAGTACAATTTAAGAGTTTTTGAATTTTTAGACTCTGATTATTATTTTAGAGCCAGGAGGACCGTTTTTGCAAATAACATGCAGAGAGTGATGTGAAATAGAAATATGGATTTAGAATGAAGTGGTTGACTGTGATGGTCCTTGGATATTTTGAGTCCTGATTTTCTGTATCTTCACATCAGGACACCAATGGAGATATAGTAGAGTTGATGTTGAGGTTGTCCCTCCCAAGGGTAGGTGTGTGACGGACCACAAAACTGTGCTCATCTCTGTCTATGTCTTGTAGGTGAGTGGCACGGAGCAGCAGCATGTTGCAAATGACTATGCTGCACGATTGGCAGCTGGGGAATCCGAGGTAATACTCATTTGCGAATTGAAACTAGACATTGTTCGATACAAGACGTGATTTACTGTAGTTTTGATGTATATCTGAAGCACTGCCTTTGAGATGCAGTGAGTTCAAGTTCATATGTGAGTGGTGAATGATGTGTGTTCAAGCTTCACATGTGTATGATCATGGTCATTAATATTTAACTTAGGAATAAATGAACTGTCCGTTTCCAACTTTGTATCCTCTTTTTTGGTTTAAAAGTCATCAATTTATTACTTTTCTAACTTCTCAATCTGTAGCTGCTGACATTATCAGTTCAGTTTATATTGCCATACTTTTTGTTCAATATTTAGCTCCCGTCTACCTCTATTACTATATATCTCACATGCGGCGAAGACCTATCTGACGTTTAATCGTGTTGCTGATTCTAGGCAGAGATGGTTTTCAACAAAGCTTTGGCATCCTTAATCAGTACGAATGCGACTGTTAGTACTTCACTAGTCGAGGAGGTCAACTCCAAGCCCGCACGAAGGGTAGTCACGGATATTGGGGACCCTGCTCCTTCAAGTGGTAGTGCTGACTTGAATCTAGTGCAGGTACGTATTACTTCTGGTACATTTTTATTGGATTTTTGAAGCCTAATTGTTTGCTTTTGATTTGTACTACACCTGTCCATCACGAAAAACAGAAGAGTTGAACCAGGAGTGATACATGCTAAGAATTTTACTACCCTGTGTAAGTGTAGTTTGCAATATTAATTTATCAGCGTCCCGAGAAAAATTAAAATTGAGATGCTCTTACGATAAACATGTATGACAATTGTTTTAGGTGGTCTGCAATGGTTATAAGCTTTTGGTGTATGTCATTGTTATCATGATACTTCCATTTCATCTATCTTCTGTATCTGGCGATTCTTGCAGTGTAACCTTCTGAACGTGAGCTACTGTCCACCCACTGAGGTTGAGCTCAAGCCCGGGAAAAGCTTTGTGAGTTGTTTCCTAAACCCAAAAGGAATCTTTTAGGGTGATCTGTAGGATCGCAACAGTCGTATCTGAACACAAGTTGCTCGTCGTCACTTGTTGATTGGTGTTGATTGGTATTATTGCGACACTCAACGTATCACATTTTAGGGCTTTTTAAAAATTTCTCATCAATCTGATAATCACGTCTAGCTCCTTGTTTGGTTGTACAGGTAGTGGTGACGTACAATCCCTTGGGATGGGAACGGGAAGACTTTGTACGAGTACCGGTAAGATGATGATGTAATTCATTCGATTTGTGTTGTTTATTTTTTGCAGACAGTCTGTTAATTTGGAAGGTTGTGGACTTAAGGCACTCTTTAGCCTCTATTCTGGATATACTTCATATTGAAGTGGGATGTATTAGTTAATTTGTCAGACAATTTGCTGATTGTATATAGTGAACCAGGTTTCAAGCTCCAAAATTGAAGTCATTGACGCGGAAAACAACGTAATTCCATCTCAGTTGATTCCTATTACTGATGCTGACCGTAAACTACGAAATAAATACGTTGAGCTCCATGCCGGAGTTAATGCTAGCACGGTTCCGAAATTTTTCCTGGTCTTTGCAGCTGCTGTACCTCCTCTTGGTTACACTTCGTTCGTGGTTCGGCCATCGTCTTCCAATACAAGTACGCCACTATTAGCAACCTAAGACAAATCGGAGTCTTTCTTGTGGACATATTGCTGCACTCAAATACCTGCTCTTTAGCATTTTGCAACGTGTTTTTTTTTTTTTTTCTTTCTTTCTTTCGCCGCAGTTCCTTTATTCATGCTGGTGATTACATGCTGTGGTTGTTGCAGCTACTGCCAAAATGTCATCGTACGAAACCCGAAGAGTGGGTCGCAGTGTTTACCTGAAATCAAGCCAGTTACAACTCAATTTCTCTAAACAAACTGCATTGCTGACTCAAATGAAAAACAAAAAAACTGGAGTACGTCAGTTACCTTTCGTGACCATCATTTCTTACCAAGCCGTGAATGGTTCCGACCTTTGCCAAATTTGTAAACACTTTTTTGGATGTTTAGCTGAGCACTAACAAGCATAATATTGGGATGAACTTTCAAGGTTATTTTATATATTTATGTACTTATATATTTTATAAATTATTCGGATTTTGAGAAATAAACTTTACGCCTGTATAAGTTTTGAAGAGCTGATGGAGCCAATGCCTTGAATAGGTTTCAACTAGTCTGGAGCAATCCTATTGCTGGTATAATGGAAGTAGCGGTATAACTGCAGAAGACCTCAATCAGGTACGCATTTTAATGTCGCAAAATACAAGCTGTTTGGTGTTGATGAAATGCATCAGAAACTTATTGACAAGTGATTTAATGTGTACATGACTACAGGCTTCTGGAGCTTACCTTTTCCGACCAAATACATCTGAGTGTTTTCCATTCAACAGCTCTCATCAAACAGTGAGCCCCGAATTTTGAAATCTATCGCTCTCGAATATGTGCTGACAAATTTCCTATGTTCTGGCAGTTGGTCGGAGGTGAGTTATGACAGGCCTTCCTAAGTTGGACTGTGGCTGTACAGATGACAGTTTTTCGAGGTCCGCTGGTAGAAGAAGTTCACCAACAATTTTCACCCTGGGTATCTCAGGTCAGTGTCTTATCTTTCTCTGACAAAGTGGGAATTGCGTGAACAATAGTAACGAATAGGATAGGAGCCACAGTTTACCCTCTGCAGCTGGTTATGCACAGGTTCTTTTATTTTGTAGAAGAAGATGTAATTTCCGATCCCTTACGGATGTCATGGCTGATCAACTTAGAATTGGACTCTCTTCTACGTTTTCATATTACATGGCAATGCATCCCAATATCCACCTGGCGTTCTTACGAAGCAACTGAACACTTAGGTATTGTTAATTGGGGTGTGAAAGAGTTGACGGCGATTCTGATTTTTATTTTTCTTGGGTATCTTGTGCAGGTTACAAGGGTTTATACAAATGTAGAGCATGCTGAAATCCAATTTACTGTAAGTCTCTAGAATATTCACTCTTCCATGTTCCCCAACCTCTCTTACAATGATGATTATGAGTCATGTTCTCAAGGCTCGATGGGAGCCTAAATTTTTGTATCATTTCACTGAAACCTGTTCTGTACATATTACTGTTTCCTTTGCTACTTTCGCGTAAATTGATATTTTTTTAGGCACCAAAATAGATTTTAAATCTGAAGAGTGTCTTTAAACTTGGGTGCGAACTGAAAAGTTAGTACAGGAAGCAAAGGTGAGAATTTTGTGGCGCTATTGCAGGTTGGTCCTATTCCTATTGATGACAGTAATGGCAAGGAGATAGTTACAAAAATAACGACACCCTTAAAGACGGAAAAAAGTTTCTATACTGACTCTAACGGTCGTGATTTCCTTAAAAGGGTAAGTTGATTGGCATCTCTTACAGAATTTGAATTTCAAGTATTAATGGGTGGATTTTGTTTGAATTTTTTTGATGGTTTTCCTCTTATTTTTATTTTTTATTTTTTATTTTTTATTTTTTATTTTTTATTTTTTATTTTTAAAATTTAATTTTTTTAATCACTAGTTATTTAAATTTGATTTATATGGTTTTTTTGTTTTTTTATTTAATTATTTATTTTTATTTCAAAAAGAAATACTCATATATATATATATATATATATATATATATATATACTTCTTAGACGCTTAATTTTTCGCGTGAGTATATTCTTGCACGAACAGGTTCCATGCCGAGGCAAGTTTTAATAGGATTGCAAGCTCATTTTTTTGTACTTAGTTGAAGCAACAAATTTATTCAGTTAAAGTCGTCCAGCTATACTGAGGATATTGAGGATACATGTAAAGTTGGTCATCACCCTGGATACATTGGATGCAGGTGAGAGACTACCGGCCTGATTGGGATCTAGAGGTCATAGAACCTGTTGCGGGCAACTATTATCCTGTAAACTCTCTTAACCTTTTCTTGTAGTCTGTGCTTTTAGTCAACTTGTGAATTGTACGATGACATATCAGAATGCATTTTCACTGTTACCTCGAGGGAAGTTTCCTCCTCACATTGGCTTTCTTCATACACCATAACTTAGAGATTTGATATTTGTGGACGATGAATATCTGAACGAGAAATCACCTGCCTATTCTTTTAACTTTTGAGGTTACTTTGCTTCTTGTTTCTGTGTTTCTTGTGTGTAGTTACTGAGCGCTAACTGAATGTCTCGGGTTTTTGGGTCCAGTTGAACCTCGGAATCTACATGAAAGATAACGAATCAGATGTTTCAGTGCTTGTGGACCGAGCTTTAGGGGGAAGCAGTATTGAGGATGGCCAGTTGGAGATTATGCTGCACAGGTGCTCTACCTGTGTTTCACATGAAACTTCTGAAACTTTAGAATGATTTTAAAAGTTATCGTAACAATGTGTTTTGTTGGCTCTTAGAAAGTGCCATTCGTATATATTCTAATTTGCGTGTCTTGCAAAAGAAAGAGGATATCGCCTCAAGTCGATCTTTTTAAGTCCAGCGAATTTAGAATAGTGTTTACCAAATGGACTGCTGAACCAGAGACATATCGACCTAACCTAAATTCCGATGAATTATTTTCGTAGGCGCCTACTTTATGACGACCACAGAGGAGTGGCGGAGGCACTCAATGAAACTGTTTGCAGCAACGACGGCCACTGCGAAGGTCTCACTGTAAGTCGAAAGCGATATTCTACTTTACTTCAGATCCGTTGAGATCTGTTGCTTTTAACTTCAATGCTGCTGCTGATAACAGTTTACGTAATCTAATTATAAACATGTTCAGCAGATCTATTGCTGAGCTATGTCTTTTAATTAGTGTAGTATTTTGCACTCTTTCACAGCTATTTTCTCAAGTAGATCAATTTGAAAGTAGACCATTGTAACTTTCATCAGCAATGCCTCTCATGTGGTGCTTGACACGAGAAACAGGTCCAAGGAAAGTTTTACATCAATATAAGTCCATCCGAAGTTGCTGCTGAATGGCGTCGCATCAAGGGCCAACAAATCTTAATGCCTTTACAACTGTCCTTCTCCGTGCTGGAGGTATATTATATTATGCTCATCTAGCTGCGTATTTGTCTCGTGAACATCATTGGAATTTTCGGCAGAAAATTCAATCTAAGCTTGATACAGAGGATTGTACAACATGTCAATCTTAAAGCATTTTTTTTCCCGTGAGCAGGATGGCAACACAGAGCCTCTTCGCACGCCAAGATTCTCAGCTTTGAAAGTTGGCTACGAACTACCTCTTAATATTGCCGTCATGACTCTTCAGGTTGGGTGCACATCTTCTGCTTTGCTCCTGATATATTAGATGATCACATTTGAATTGATTTTAGAATAAACTTTTCTTCAAGTCTGATTATTTGGAATGGGAGTGCAGGAGCTAAATGAAGAGGAAGTGCTTCTAAGACTCGCCAATCTTTTTGAGGTCTGTATCAATTAAATGTCAACTCCAATTTCATGAGAAATTGAATGTCTAACTGATAGTCCGAAGCGCCAGATGTGTATTACTTAGCTCTCGAACTTGGGTTTCGTAACTACCACTGAGGGCATTGTAAGACTTTGAAGTGTTACTTCAGCAACTTATTCTTTGCCCCATTGAGGCCAGTGTCTTCCATGTGGAATAATTGGTTGTCATCTGACAGGTTGATGAGAGCACGAGACTGTCAAGAACCTCTACGGTCGATCTGTTAAATCTTTTCCCCAACCATAAGGTACAATATTTACAACTTCTGTTTTTTAATCAATAATATGTGACAGAAATATGGGGGTTGGTTCCTTGAGGTACGTTTTTGAGGAGTCCAAATATGAGTGGTGTGCAGATTAAGGAGGTGAAGGAAGTGACTCTTTCAGCAAATCAGGAGAAATCTGAAGTGAAGAAATTGGAGTGGAATATTGAGGCGAGCGAAGCAAGCCCGAAGATCTTACGAGGGCGTCCACTGCGCGATGACGAAACAATCGTCGAAATTGCACCAATGGAGATCAGAACCTTCTTGCTCCGTGTCCGAAGTAATAAGCATCATTGAACGATACTTTAAATCACCGTGTTTGTACAGCCCCTACCACTGAGGTGCCCACTTTGTGCAGCTGTGTGCAATTGGTATCTCCTTGCTGGACGCTTGTTGATACCATTGCACTTACAAAGGGAAGCACCCTTGTAATCGTCGTTGTACTGTGTGCTAGGTAAGGGCCTCAGTATGTCCTCAAAATAGCAACGCACTTGAGTTCCCGGAATGTACGACTGTTCGGTCAAATGTCCTGCGATAATTCAACAATTATTTTTACTTGTCTGCTTCACTATGTCGAACATCCCCCTCCCTCCCTTTTTTATTTTATTTTATTTTACTTTTATTTTATTTTATTTTTTTCCATCATGTTTATGCCTAAGATATCGTCACATTCCTGAAGTAGGCCTTGAACAACCGTGGGATTACAACCTGATCCTTCACACTTCACTTTTGCTGGTAGCTGTATTCATCCACTGTCGGGCTGATGCAACGATGAAGCAGAGGGGATATTGGCAACCTAAACTTGCTGATTATGAAGTCAAGAAGCCCCTCTAATCCGAGTGTTTTGAAGTGATTACGATGCAGCCGCAAGTTATCCGACACTTAAACTAAGTTTGCATTTCCTGCCATCCTCCGCACTCACACACGGAAGTCTACGATGGAAAATCCATATAGTTGTTGCAAAAGCTCGGATAAGTTTAACTGCTGAAAGATGAAGAAGTTTGCCCGGAACTTGGCACCGTTCACAGCAACACAACTTAATTATGGATTCTCAGTTATGAACTCTCCTTTGTGCCCTCTTACTTTACAGTTGTAGAATCAACTCTACTTGACGAAATATCGTTCCTCTCTGGTCGTGGTCTGTGTGGTGTAAGTGTTTCGACTTTTGCTTTGTGCCGTCAATTAGCGAAAGGTCACGGGAGGCTTCTGATTCTCGACCTCCGAGGCATGCCGCAATTCTCTTTTACCGAGCTCATTTTAAGTCTTTCATCCTCACTTTGGTCCTTACCAACAAATCTTAGAGCTTCTTGTCTTCTACTTCCTTACATTCCAGCAAAAATGTTTGCTCAGGTAATGTTCTTACGCACATTACTTTTCGGCTAAGCTAATCTAGGAATTTGCGACAGCACAGTGAATGGAATGAAGATACTGGTAAACTTTGTCGTCATAGACGAGAGGTTGCTTTAGCAGCTGACAATGGCATCGGGAACTAACCGCAGTGTCAGATTTGACTATATTGTCACGACGCTTCAGAGTCTGGATGACGTTCCTACCACTGCGCAAAAATCCGACTGGAGAAAAATTCGACACGAATGGATACTGTCATAAAGCATCTCGAGGATTTGGTACCTGACAAATTCCACTTCGTAGTTTCAAAGGCAGATGGTGACAACCTGAGCTATTTCCAACTCGCAGCTCCCATCAGAGCCTGGCTGGCCCTTCTGAACAAAAATGAAAAGCACTTCCGTAGCTCGGCGCTCGTCCAAGTCTGCATCTGGAATGACGGCAACTGTGCTATCAAACTGCTGAAGTCGAATCAAATCAGTGGAACGCTGACGAATTGCAGACAGATGTGGAATCTCCAGTGAATGGACATCCTCACAGAGTGACAAAGAAATACTGTATGTCCTGAATGCGAAAATGGATGGCGATCTGCGAGCTTTCACTGAGAAACCCAAGCCCAGGCATAGATGATTGATGGTCGATGACCTCAGATCTTTCAACCGAATCAATCAAGTGAGGGTCATTTCTCAGATTGCGAAAACTTATTTTGAAGTTTTGCGCTGCGGATCCCAGGAAGTGGCTGAATTTGAGGACGTTTACTATCTCATGGCGATGAACTGATTAAACATGACATGACCACAATTTCAAGGCTTCTGTACCTGCTTCCAAAAAGAGTCTAGCTCTAGTAAAGACCATTCAGTTGAAGCCTAATCTGAAGGCCAGAATTGCTCTAGGGTTCTGGCATTAGGTGAGAAGGAGATGGAATTGGTGATTGAATTCAATGAGGTGGCAAAAGATCCCTCGCAACCTATTTGAAGATAGAGACTCTAGTGCCTGGAACCAGTGTACCACCTCGGAAGGGAAGCCTCTGCGGAATTGTTGTTGTTTTTTTGTTATTGTTTTTTGAAGAAATTGGAGCTGTGCGTTAAAACTGCGGCAAGAAGTGAGGGAAGCGGTGAAGCTTCGACACTGAAACATTGTAATGGTGGTGGCATTCTCTGATGCTGCGATACGATGAGCAACAGTGATGGAGTCGACACAGCCCTCTCTACGAAAACGGATGTGTGCACTGAGTGGATGTATACCAAACTGGCTCTCGGAATTAGGGTTTTTTCACTCCTGTAAGCATCTTTTTGGTAGTCTTGTGGTTGTTTTCTGTTATTTAGCACAGCAACATAATCAATGAGAGAGACAGTGGGAAAAACCTCATCATTGCATACTTTACTAAAGAACCTCCTCCAACATTCTTGGTACATTGTGTATGAAATTTATCTCAGACAAGCTTATTAAGACAACGAATTAGAAGGCTAATTTGTCTCCCTAATTTATTTAGTTGATTTATATCCTCATATATGATTTATATAATAAATGTAATGTAATGTATCTATTTATCTATCTATCTATCAATGTATCTATTATGATCTGCTCTAGTGGTAGTGTGGAGAATTAATTGCAATGGCCTTCTCACATCACACAATTCATTGCATTACAAGGGGCATGAGCTGCTGCTGCATTGGATAATTGCTCTAGATTCTTTGAGAATAGGAGGAGCATGGAATTGCTGCTGGAGGTAGGAGACCAACTGCAATTGCAGTCATGAGGTTCCGTAGGTTTTTAGCTGAGAATTTGATCGTTGCACCTAGCAATGTTGCCGTGAACTTGGTGAATGCCCAGTATGATAGCTTCATGAATATCCCTATTATGGCTGAGTTCTTCTCCTTCGCTCAGTCATAATATCTCATAGCTCATATATCATATATCATATAGTCATTTATCATAGCTCAGTCGCTCTAAGTATTCACCTCTTGGAACTTTTGCTTTTACCTCTTTTCCATAATTTCACAAAACTTGACCTCTCGGACTTTTTATTTTGTCAAAGTAGGAGATGTTGGCGTAGTTGACAAGCTGAGGTTCATTCTTGGATTATGTTTTGTATTGCCTACTTGAGATGATAGACTTTCGTAAAGCCAACCATTATAGCTCCCTTTCACTTATTAGTCACGGTTTTGAATATTATAATTGATTGTTTTTTATTACGAAAATGGGATGTGTTATTCAAGCAGGATGGACATCATTTGTTGCAAATAAAATGTGCTAGAAGTCAAAAAGAGGGCACTTCCAGTGTCTTAGTTAAGAACTGAATAAGTCATAGCTTTTGGTACATATAATATGGGATATTCAACACTTCTCTTTCAAAAGTGGGAATTAATTCTTTACTCAAATAAGACCTAACATATCCCTAAAAGTTAGAAATTTATCTCTAAGAAGAAGTTTTGTGAAGATGTCTATCGCCATCTACTCTATAAGACAATATTCCAAACTAATTAGTCCCTTCTTAACACGTTGCCTAATAAAATAGTGTTTTGTATCCCAATGCTTTGTACAACCATGGTGTACTAGTGTCAAGGACAAAGACTCGATGAGGAAAAATATACACCAAAAGGCTATCTCGATATAATAAGTCAAAATATAAACAAGTAGGTATATTAAAAGGAAACTAAAATGGCTATTGCTACAAGACAAGAAACTAAAGACTCTTGAACTTAGACTAGAAGCAAGAAAGGAGTTGACAAGAGTGAAGAAGCCTTCACTCTTGTCTCTATATATACTATCTAACTAGGGGCTACGTGGCGACGTTCTATAGGACCTCTAATATGTGTTGACTTTGTAGGACACATGCCTTGACTTACAAGGCAAGTTTTTCTACGTGTGGGCCACATAGTTAGCTTGATCTTGAAGCTAACAACATGTGTGGCACATGGCCAACTTGTTGACCACGTTTCTAATCCAAAAAGTCAATTAAAGACACCTATGAAGTCAAAGCAGCATCTAAGAAGTTTCTAGGAAGCTTCTGTATTAAATATTATAGAATTAACTTACTTTTATCTACTTTTACTTACTTCTACCTATTTCTATATGTAATTATTAGCTTACATGATTATGGCCGTGACATTACCTCCCCTTCTAGAGACGAGTTCCACGAGGAGCGGTCATCATATGTTGAGGAAATCTATGATGCGACGAATTGTATTCGCCACATACTCTGATCTCTGTTCTCTTCGAAGATGATTGATAGGGCCTCTCAACCATCGGTAGTGTCCCATACCAGGGTAGGAAGACCACCCAGTTATTTGATCATTGTTGAGGCCTTCGTAACTTCCTTCAAATAGAATATTTGGAACACCATCAGGAATTGTTCCTACCTCTAGCAAAATCACCAAACATCGGGAGTCCCTTCCCAAATCGTGATACCAAACGTGTTGTATCTCACCATCTATTCGAGGAAGAACATGTCGTTCTTGAAGATCTTCATCTCGATTGCGTCGTCTTGAAGGTTGTGACAATCGTAATGTCTCGTCCGGCAGGTCAGCAAACGAAGGTTCTTGAGTTGAATTCGCTGGTTGTTGGCTCTCCATCTAATTAGCGTCACAAATGCAAAGAAGTTACAAACAAGGATAGGAAATTGAATGTTATCTTGCCTCAATCTTGTCTCTTTTATAAGAGAGATTTTCATCTTGGTTTCGATGGATGTCGTTGATGAAAAACTTTGACTTTAACTGATGCATTTCCTAGATTCCTGGATGGCTCCCATGTGCGTTCACTAATATCATATCCGCGCCAATGAACAAGATATTCCAGCTTATTTCGGCGTCGCCTTGAGTCTAATATCTCTTCCACCTCAAATTTTTCATTATTATCTACTTCTATAAGAGGCGGTGGCATTTATCTTCTTCCTTGTATATCCACTGTCTTATATGGTTCAAGAAGAGACACGTGGAATACAGGATGGATCTTCATTGACTCTGGTAGATGTAACCGATATACAACTGGGTTGATCTGTTCAGAAACAGAAAAGAGGCCAAGCCTACGATAGTCCAACTTGTCATAAGGTCGAGTAGTCTTGATATTGCGATGAAGTAGCCATACCTTATCACCCACGTTGATTTGTGGTTGCTCCTTACAATATAGATCTGCGTTTATCTTTTGTCGTTCTTGAGCTTCCTTCAATTGTGTCTTCATTATTGCATGTAACTCTGACAACCGATTTGCCATATCTTCTGCTGC